AAATAAACAGGCACATGAGGCTGTAACCAGAGGAGATTTGCAAGATGATGCTACCAAGGATGTGGGGCATCAGGAAACAGGGAACGGTACATTTTGTCTGCCTGTACTGTAATTGGTTCGTTGCATATGAAGGCAATATTAAATTTTAAATTCTTTAGGGCTGTAGCAAATTGTTGGTACGAAATTAATCATTGTTTAGACGAAACCATAAAAAGTGTATGTACCTCTGTGCCGATGCATCTCCTCGTGACCATCGCGGTCACAAATTGCTTTTCTACTCCAGCTATAATATTATTGCAGGGCTGCTGCTCACAAATCTGGCTAATATATTCTCGAGCCCACAACTTTGCTTTACACTTTCCAATTCCGCTTGTTTGATTTCGCATTATGACATTCAAATTGGATCTCACATGCAAAATCCGTGTGCTGAAATGCTGTATGCCTTCAATTTTTCCCCAGCCGAAGGTACAAGGGTGAAAACAAGCCCGCCAGAACTTGCGTCCGCCAATGATTCAAAGAAAAAGCTTCTTATTCTTGATTTGAATGGAGTGCTTCTGGGCAGTCCATTTACAAGGATGACCAGAAATCGGGACTTTAATTTCAGACCACGTTGCTTTGAATTTTTGCAGGTCTGTCTGTCATATTTTGAGGTGGCTGTTTGGTCATCAAAGCTAAGGTATCCGCCAACCTATATTTGAATTGCTTCGTTAACTACAACGTCCACAAGTTTTTCTGTTATGTTCTTAAATCAACACAGCTGTGCTTTCTGCAGCCACAACATTCAACCAGTGTTGGACAGGCTATCCGAAAAAATGAATGAACGTTTGGAGCAGAGACTGTTATTTGTTTGGGTGAGATGTCATTCACAAATTACTTCGATTGTGTGTAGTCAGTCCGTGTGTAAGACTTCTCATAAATGAAAGTCGGGAACAATCAATATTGCGCAGGATCAGTCGCGGTGCACTATGACACAAACTAGCCTTGGGGAAAATCCAGACAAAAAGGTGATGTTTAAGGACCTTCAACATGTGTGGGGAGAATATAAGTCGAACAACAGCTCTAACACGATATTAGTCGATGATTCTCCGTATAAATCCTTCCTTAATTCTGTAAGTGCACCATACCCGCTGATCGTTATGTTGTATATGTTCCGGTATGCACAAACAACATGATCAGGGCTAACTGTTTCCGTATTACTCATTCTTCAACCGTACAATGCCATCTTCCCCACCTCTTATACATGTTACACTGTAGAAGACAATTATTTGGGTAAGACGCGGTTCGCGATGCTTTCAAATGTGGCTTTTGCTAGGTTTACACAGGGTGAAAGATTGGCCTGACACAAAACTTATTTGCAGATCCTGAAGGAGATTTTGTACGACACCTGAAGAAATTGGCCAGTGCCGATAATGTACAAGATTTCATTAAGCGAAACCGTTTTGGACAATCACCCGTAACAGAAGGCAGTGTGGAGTGGAACTTTTATGTTAATGTTGTCAGCAAGCTTGGACTGCAGAACACAGCAAAGCGAGTGACGCGCAAACGGGAAGCCCCAAACAGATATTATCCGGAGGTATCCATTGCATTCATGTTCAGGAATATGTTCACAATAGTTCAACACCTCGTTATGATAGCTAAAATTGCGTCTGCTCATATGCACAGACCAAGAAAAAAAGGAAAATTTGAAAGCATGAGGAAGATCATTGTTCAGTGTACGGAAGCTTCTCCAAACCTTTGGAAGGCGAGTACCTCTCTTCTGATGGGACACACAACCAAAACTTTTGTGCTTTAGTGAGACATTGGGCCTGTCAAATTCATATATGTTGGTACTACTTTCTTCCCTTACTTGTGTTTTTGTTTGCAAAGGCCCGTCGCTGAGTTTTTTTATACAAATTCTAAAAATGTCGAAGTTTGGAATGACGTATGTTGTCTTTGAGGTTCCGGAATGCACATGAGGAAAAATTATCAGATAATGCCTGTAATTGCTGTCAAATGCAGGATGCGTCAGCCATATACTCCTGCTACAAACGTTGGCATGTAGTGAGTTTAGCCTGTTTTCATTGCAGATGGTTGTTGGCAACTTCTCGTCTAAACATTAAGGATCTAAATGTCACTCACTAAATCTGTCCGTCTAGTTATCCTCTCGGATACGTGCAATACTAACAGTGCGTCAGGGAGCAATGGTTGACATTAATTGAGCTAGGCTCCTTGCTTTGCGTCTGTACCAAAATAAAGTCCAGCAATGGAATCTGTTAACCAACACCAAGTCTGTATGAGTAATGTATTCCTTTACCTAACCCCTGGTTGAATATGTCATTGGATAGTGAAAATTAGCTGCTGGACTAGCAGCTTAAGATTGCCTCACTTTTGAATGGGGATGTCTAAGCTGCTGACAGGCTTGGAGAACTTACAATACTTTAGTGGGCCTGTATTCATGCATTCGTTGGACTACGTTATTGAAGGGATGCACATGATGCAGGCACAGATGTTTCCCATCATGCAAATGGTTTGACGGAACAGGTAACATACCCAGCAGCTTGGACATACCCCTTGTTTTGGATGTGACTTCAGGCTGGAAGGTTGTCTTGCTTGAAGAAAATGGTTCAGTCTATTATTGGAATATTGAAACAGGAGAAACTTCATGGGAAGTTCGTGGTTTGACCAGATAATGCCTGTTTGTGTAGACAGTGCAAGCGATGCGTTTATTGCCGAACGGTTTCAATTAGAAAATGTAATTGGCTGGATTCTATGATCCCTGCAGCAAATACTGCTATTATATTCTGGTTTGCGTATAACAGCAGAATGTATCACTTTCCCATAAAAGACCAGCTCTTTTTGACCTTCCTCCATTATAAGAACAAAGCACCCATTTTTCCACCAATACATTTATTTATCGGATAAAATATATAAAAACTCGTTTTCCAATAATGGTTTTTCTCCATTATAACAACAGAGTACCCTTTTCCATAAAAAAAATTTATTTATCGAAAAATAATAAAATAAATCAGTTCTCTAATAAAACACCAGCTCTTTATGGCTTTCCTCCATAAATTATCCAGTTTCCCATTTTTTCAAACGCTATTTCAGGGGAGGTTTGTGAAATTATCCTGTATAATATATATGTGTATATAATATTAATAAATTATATAATTATAATTATATAAAATATTAGTTATGGGTGAAGAACGGAACAAGAGAATTACGGGTGAATTATGGGTGAAGAGAGGAAAAATATTAGTTATTGATGAATTATGGGTGAAGAACGGAAGAAAGTCCAGTTTTCTGATTTGTCAACTTGCTGGAAATCCCACAAAGTACATGACACAGGGCCACCGACAAAGCTTTGCAGTGCATTTAGAAATTTATTTTATGATATAGTGCGAATAATGAATTTTTGTATCACACAAAATTTAGTTGAAGGCGTTGTGTTATAAAAGTCAACCTCTTTATGCCTTTCTTCCTTCATACGGGCACCAGTACCCAAGTTCCTCAAATACAAATTCATTTTTCGAAAACCAAAAAAATAGACCCGTAGTTCATAACACAGTAGCTCTTTAAGGCTTTCATCCGTTAAACTGACACACTCCCCAACGTGCATCAAATACAAATGTATTTAAATCGGATGAAATATAGTTAAAGCCGTTGTTGAATAAAGATCAGCTCTTTATGGCTTGCGACCGTGTTACACTGATAAAGTATCCTGCTGCCTTAAACACATGTATTTACCGGATGAAATGTACTTAAACCCGTTGTCGAATAAAACACCAACTCTTTAATTGTAACATCTGTTATAAGTACAAGGTAACCATTCTCCGTTAAAAAAATATTCATTTATCAGCTTAATGTAAATTAAACCCGTTTTCCAATAAAACACCGGTTCTTTATGAATTTCCTCCACTATGACAACAGAGTACCAATATCCCATACTTACAAAGTCACTTATCGGATAAAATTTAATTGAACACGGTTTGCAATAAAACACCAGCTATGTATGGCTAATTTATTTGTTCGATCAAATCGGATCGATATTATACTAGAGTGTCATTTACCCGTTAGCATAGAATGCAAACCAACAAACTAACCTATTGCAGGTTTAAACTCCGTTTTAAGACAGATTGTTTCGGATACGTCAACACACCTAATTCATAAACTCTCGCGAAACATCAATTTAAACGCGTTTATTATTAATTACCACAAATCAAAATTTTCAATCTTTTTTCATTTATTTCTAATCAGTTCATACCATGGATCACTGTACGCTAGTCATAACCAACCACAAATCTTCTCTTAACTCCCGACCACATGAAGATTGTGGTACTCGTTATCCCCATGGCAAGGTCTCCCCACACCACCGCCGGTGAGTTTGCTCGGTTGAACCAATATCCCAAATGAAACTCAGATACACACCAACCGCTTGCCTTACTATGGCAGCTTTTGGACTCTCTGTTTCCGTCTTCTACATTTTCGGTTACGACGACGTGCATCCGAGTATGACAGCCCCTATTACATGCCCCTTTCCACAGAATGCCGCTACTTTGTCTCTCTATCTTGCCACCTTCATCCAACCTCAACTTTATTCATCTCCAACCTCCTGTGGATGTTCGCTTTCCGCATAATTTGATGACGGACAACGTTGGCATCATCCAGAACCAAAGACAGTGCTACTTTGCGCCGCTCCTGCTCCGAATTGTACTGCGCCGATAAATTTGTTACTATCTCCATCGTTCGTAACCAAAGCAAGCAAACACACTTACTGTTACAGCACACGACGCCATTCCTTTTTGCTTACCTGATTCTATTTCCAGCTTCCAATTCCACTTGATAACATATCCATGTACTTCAGCATGAATAATCCACAATCCCACCTGCATTACAAACCATAACCACAAATTTAGACACAACCGTTGCTGAACTATGGAAAAAACTTCCAAAACTATGCAGGTGCAACTTACGCATTCATTTGCTGTGGACATGTGGCTGCAGCTTTTATTTTGTACAGCCAAAGGCATGACGAATACTGCCCCTCCAAACCATAAGTCAGCGCTGCTTCCAACCTTTCAATCTGACGACCATACAAGAAAAACATATGCAATTTTAAGTTTACTGCCACCAATTGTAAAGGTGATGGTCGTGTTCATGAAATATTTGACAAACCAACTTAGTTTACCACTGTCTCCACGGAGCTGCGCCTATTCATATCCGTTTGCTCGTCTCCTCTCATTGAATCATAAATTAATACTTCTTCGCTTCCCATGTCCACCACACACATATACCAATGCTCATCGTGCCACATTGGCACGAATATCTGAAGCATAGCAGCGGTTAGTTAGTCATCATCGTGGCATCTGTATCTATTCCATTATGCTACATAACAGGGCAGCTGCTCGTACCTTCTCACACTTTTTTATATTACCTCCTACTTTACATTCCTGTAGATATGTACAGTACAGTTCGTCTGCTGATTTGTTGAACTCCAAAATCTCTTGCTACAACACGACAGTCAAATATGACATTTTAATATGAATGTACGTACTCACACCCCCCAACTTTGGCCGAACACTTGTACCTGAAACCAAGTTGGCATGAACCACCATCGCATTGACTGATCGTCAGGACGCCTTTGCTGCCTTGCTGTTTTCATCGCACAATAGCAATTGATTATCTGCACCAAACTCAACTCACATCATTTCGTCCTCCGTGAAACAGTCCACACAACACCACCCAATTTCAATCCCTCGATTTACTCACATCACATGCCATGGGTTTTTCAGGAAGCAAGGACCCCATTGCATCCCGACTTGCTGTCTGCCCCTTAATTGACACCAGTACTTCCCTGTCATTACAACAGCGTACATTAATCTTTTCCCTATGTGTATTACAGTTTCATAATCTACAAATTTGATATCATCATTTTCAATCACTCGAGTTAAAACGGCCAGAGTAGGTTTGCTCTTCCTCACTAATACAACCAGCAATCACGGTTTCAATGACCCAATCGGTCCTTACGGTCATTGAGTTAGCCTAAGGCGGTTATGTACTCACCATAAGGGTCATTCAGTTATCATTGTACTTCCATTCTCAAACTTCTGGAATACTCACCTTTTATTCTATATGCAACCATGTTACCTACCCTTGCTTTTTATATAAGGTGGCATGATTGACAGCACACAAATTGTAAGTTTTATGCTCACTTGTAAACCAATTTTAACTGTTTCGAAGATTTTCGTTCCTATGCCCTCTCCCCTATGGGGATAATCATACTACATATTTAGTCAACCTTATAATTGCAAATACTTTTCTGTCCCCTTTCCCATTGCAATTTCAAATAAAGGATAAAACAAAATAGAACTATTGATTTAACAAATCCATGTTCCAGTACATACCCTTGCGACAGCTGAGTGTCAAACAAGAACTTCAGTATTTTTGCTCGTCCCTCACTCAATTTTTCCCCGATAGATGCCAGCCTTGTTTCCTGCTACCACAAAAATATGTCATCTTTCATTGTCTATAATTTCCCATACTTCAGTAATTCTGGAACGTTGGAATACTCACCTTTGCCAATAAAGCAACGATCTTCGTTTGACACTTGTTCATCGCACTGCTATCCATCTGTACATAAAACTACAATTTATACTTTACTTTTCTAATGCTACAAATACCTTGGCACAAACCGATGCATACCTTTATTCTTTTACCTTGCCTTCTGTTTTGTTTGTCTTCCCCCACAGGCTTCTCCGTATTGTCCATCCTTAGTCTCTTTCTACTCCTCCACTTTGTAATTTTCGATGCACTCTTTTCACCAATTACAGTACTATTCGTAGTGACTCTATCATTTTCACTCCTGCTTTTGGACCTAACATCTGGCGTTGTAGGACTAAATTTATGTAACTCACTCCCTCTTTTAACATTACCGCGCCAATCGTCCTTCTGCCCACCCTCCACACCAACTGCCCGGTTTGTTTTGCACACCCTTCCACTTTCATACATGCTCCTCAGCCTTTCAAAACGACATTCAATCATTGCTTCCATTCTATCAATACTATCCTTCACATACCAATACTATCCTTCACATCTTTATTACCACATTCAATTTCAATCAGTCTTCTATCAATGTCTTCTCTACAGCTTATGTTACTGTAAAACTGCACATTGCCCTGTCACTATAAGCCTTCAGTTTTGTACTACTAGTAACGTCACAAAATGCAGATTGCAATTTCAACAACAATTCACACGAAAGGATTTTACATTACCTGTTCCCCCTCAAATATGTGATTCCTCCTCAATATTCGCACGCTTTCATTAATCTCGTACCTTCCCCAAAATCTTAGCCTCGGCCCTCTCGGCTGGAACTTGCGAAACTCGTCCTCACCCTCGATATAGAATCGTTTCAGATAGTAAATCTGCACGGACAAAAACGCCTACCATCATTTACGGGTCTTTTCTATCAAAGTTTAATTTCATTATTCCAGCAATTCCTATCTCTAATACAAAATGGTGCGTCTTTCTTATACCATCAAGAAAAGTGCACATCCCGCTATTCCGTTGCCGTCTCTATCACGGATGCTCTTCACCAAATTGTCAAGTATGAATTTCGACCAGTTCAAATTTTCCATATTCTCCTCTGTAGCCACTACACCCACCAGAGCCCGGCTCACTGTGTCATCCAAACTTGGTGCTAACAACCTACCAACAACAAACAGTACGAACTTCACTTTGAATTCTAAGCCTTCTTTATGCAAACTACATATACTGTGCCTCAATTCCTCCACTACAATTTCACCGCTATTTATTCTGATATTCAATTCTCTTTCCAACTCTGTATCCATCTCTTGCCTTCGCTTTTCGCTTTCAATATCTTTCCCACGGCTGCTCAAGCCAAGTGCACATTCCACATCCTCGCCTGTCACCTGTAGACAGTACCCATGAACGTTCAGTGTCCTCCGATCTACATCAAAGTTATCCACCAGCCACTTCAACATCTCTTCGTCAACCTCTACTCCCTTCACATTCAAAATTGACCCGAATCCAAACTCTCTGACAGCCTGCCGCTGCTCATCCGAGATCCAATCCACCATATTCTTCACGGAATGAGTTGAGTGGCTTACCATTGTTTCCGCCGTCCGACGAATGGCCTTCTTTTCACTGCTGCAACTTTTATAATTCGAAGGTGTTCCACTCTCATGCATCAGCGATACTACCATTGTTTCCGCCGTCCGACGAATGGCCTTCCTTTCACGGCTGCAACTTTTAAAATTTGAAGGTGCTCCACTCTCATGCATCGGCGATACTACATTTTCGCTTTCTCCTTCACTGTCCCACTGCATATCCGAAGCATCTATTTCCGCCGCCAGCTCCATAACAAATCCCTATCTTCTGCTATTCCTCCTGCTCCGGTTTTGGCGCTTCTTCCTTTCTAATACGCCTACACTCTTTAGCTTGTCCAGTAAGCTTCGCGCCTTTTTTCCCTGCCGTACTTTCGCGTACAAACCCTCACTTTTCCGGTTGCTTAATTTCGGCCCCTCCACATTTCACATGCGCGGCTGGAGTCCCTTCAATGCCCAATACATCTTCCGATTGCACGTCACAAAAGCCCTTTCCACGTGCCCGCCCAACACGCTTCCCCTAGCGTTTGTGGCCCAAAATGCTTGAATGTCTTTTCCCTTAACTTTCCACACCTCTGTTTTGACTTGTAAACATACCGCAACAACATCCCTTTCTCCTCAATAATAGACAATCTCCATTGCCATAAAGCCTTGGATACAATGATCAATTTCAAACTGTCCACAAAACAAATTAAAAAGAAAAAAGTCATTTACTTTTGGGAAAGGAAAAAATTAAAAATGTTCCTGCATCATATTTGAGAAATTTCTATTGATTAATAGGTGTAAATGAGGCTCTTAGAGGGAATCAGAGAATGATTGAACAGAAACACAAGGGAAGTTATTTCATATTTCACATCCTCAACAAATTTTCAATGGGATCATATGATTGTAACTATGAAAAAAATATTGAAGATGGGATTCGAAAACTTTTTTTTCTCTCTACTATTTCAGCTGGCTCATCTTGAGCTGAAGATGAGCCAGCTGACGATCGCAAGATTCTTGACAATTATTGGGCCAGAAACAATAGCAATCTAGTGCCAATTTTTCAATCTTCTCAATCATTTCAAGATCGCAAGAAAATGCCCCGAATTCTATATTAATTGTAAGATTTTTGAGTATGGGTTAATTTAACATGTCCCAGAAGTTATTTTAACATCTCCATATTTAACTTCATTTCATCTTGTGGGTTTCTTTAATTTGGAGAAATACTTGTGTAACTCACGTGGAAGAGGATTTAAGAAATTGTTAGTTGAGGGTTGGAAGTGCGTAGGGAGAGGTGCGAAGACAAAAAAGTAAATAAATAAATAAATTGGGATGATAGATTGTGAACACTAATAAATCTTGAATGAAAAAATTGTCCAAAAAAATCGTGAATGGAAAAAAAAAATAATGATAGACAATGTTGACTTCGTAAATGCATTATTTTTCTTATGACTGCAATCACAATAATGTTACAGCTGCACCAAATTGAAGCCAAAGAACTCCAGAAATTGCTTCCAGAAACATGAATATAAAATTACATCGTCGGTTCCCACGCTGAATTGACCCTTAAACGAATTCAAGAAGAGACATGAATTGGTTCACAATTGCCACAAGTGATGAGAAGAGTTAATTCAATCGGGAAGTCCCAATTATCTTCAAGAATGACCTTTAGATCATCATTTCCTGCATCCATCTGTTCTTGTTGAATTTGCTTTACAGAAGTCACAGCAGACTTACAGCACCATGTGAGCTCTATCATTTCAAGATTTGAACATTCCCCTAAACAAAAAGGGACCTCTTCCAGTACATAGCAGTCTTGGACAACTAACTTCTCAAGACGGGAAAAATTGTCAGAAGGGGCAGTCCAACTTCGGAGGTCCAATTTTGTCAATTCCAAGAATCGGAGGTTAAGGAACTCCCCTGCTTTCATTTCCCATTTTTCCCCTACAAAGGCTTCATGCCGTAATTTAAGCACTTCAAGACTCGGCAGCTTTCCAATCGTTGAAATTTCAGTCCATGGCACACGAGTACGTGAGAGAGTCAACTTTTTCAAATAAAGTGGGAATTTAATTCCCAACGGAGCAAGATTTCTCACTTTAAGTGACTCTAGTTGACTCAGACCATCCAGCACGAGAATCCAGTTTCTGGAAGAACTAGAACCCCTTAATGGCAAGCATTTTAGCCTGCGGATGCTTGGTAACTTTGTCAATATCTTCTGCAAGCTTTGAGAAGAGGAATCAATTGCAAGGCTTAAAGTCTCTAAATGTTTTAAATCCGGGGAGCCCGCAAGACTGTCAGCAGGAAAACGAAAACCACACCGGGAACTTTTAATGAATAGATGCCTCAATGTCTGAATGTTCCAGATAGTGTTCGGTAGCACAACATCATCCCAGCTTTGTATCAAGAAGAAAGTTTCTAAACTTGAGAGGTTAGCTATGTCAGATGGCACGGACTTAACGCTCCGAATCGCCAAGTATCTCAAGTGAACAAGCAATACCACTTCCATCGGAAATTCATAGGTAAAATCAAACCGTCCCAAATCCAACACTCTAAGAAGTTTAAATAACAGAACCCCGATTGGAAAATAAAGCACCCCATCCCACTTAGCAGAGAAGTGCAAAGAACGTAAAGTGGGAAAGAATACCTTTAACTTCTTAAGCTTCTCTGGCTTGGAATTGTAAATACATAGTCGGTGAAGGTTGTGCAGTCCAGTCAGAGTAAAAAGATCATTTTCCCCATGAGAAATCTGTAGAAACTTTCTTCTTTGGCTTTTTCCACACAAAACTCATGTATCAAATCATGAATTCGGCAAGCTTTGGCACCACCTATAGATCTTTGTTGGGTGACCATAACTAAACTTCTTTGGACCAGATCGGTCAAGTACTCAGCGACCATATCCTCTAAGATTTTTCCTTCAGTCTTTTGCAGAAATCCTTCAGAGCTCCAAAGCCAGATCAATTTTCGGACAGGGACGTCTGCATCTTCCGGGAATGCTCCGAAGTAAAGAAGGCATGGCCTCAGATGACCTGGTAAATTACTGTAACTCAACTCCAGTGTCCTCTTGCATTGTTCAGTCTCAACAATGGTGCTAGAACATAGAGTTTGTGCAGCTTCTTTCCAGCAATCTTGCTCGGTAGTTGCAAGAATTCCAGCAACAAGGACAATTGTAAGAGGTAGTCCCTTACAATTTTTTGCAATTTGGAATCCAACTTCATTCAGTGTTGGAGGACAACTTTCTTTGCCAAATAGCTTATTTTGCAGCAATGCCCAACTGTCTTTGTCAGTAAGTTGGCGAAGATGGTAAGGTTCACTAGCATGTTTTAATTGCAATGGCAAACTGTGAATTCTACTGGTTAAGAGAATCCTGCTTCCATTTGCATCATTTGGAAATGATCTCTCCAACAAATTCCATGCCTCAATGTCCCATAAGTCATCCAAAACTATGAGATACCTATTGCTCAACAAAACCTTTCTTAGCTCTTCAGCCAATTCATCTTCATCTTTGTTAAGACATTCGCCAGGACTATCACGATGAATACTGCACAAAATCTGGGCTAACAAATTGTGCTTGCTGTATGCTTGAGAAACAGTACACCAAGCATGAATATGAAAGTGGCGAGAAACTGAATTTTGCATATGGTGGTAAACTGTGTTTGTTAATGTTGTCTTACCAAGTCCTGCCATCCCAACAATTGAAATAATATCCAGCTGCTTTAAACCTCCGGTAAGTCTACAGGTGATTGTCTTCACCGCTTCATGAAGCCCCACCGTAGCTTCATTCAATGCTGGGCTACTGAGTTTTGATGACGTATGGGCTGAATTGTTGGTAACTCTCAGAGCATCAGTGCCATTGCTGTGCCTGGCAAAGATTCCATGGGCCTCAATCCTCATCAGCTCTATATCTCCAGCTAGGGTATCCAAACATTCAGGTTTATTCCGAGATACAATAGAGTTGACGAGTAACTTTGCCTTATAGGCCACCTCCATACCACGATCCCAAAGAGCTTGGAGTTTTTGGTTCTGGTTGCGCTGCCCGACAATATTCTTGAGGAAAGATCTTAAGAATATGAGATCCTCTTGCACTTTGTGGATATGATCCTGTGGTAAATCAATTGAATCAGCTTCAGAATTTGATAAATCTTGAAGACTTTCTAGGAGGAAATCAAAGCAGCCCAACTCATTGGTCCAAGGAAAGCTTTGTGATGGTGACGGATAAATTTGTGCAAATTCTGTCGTAATAAACTTGAGCACTTTGACCAAATGATAAAGCGCCAGATCTGTTTCCTTGGCCAAACCTTCTTTCATTTCAGTTGCTGAAAGGGATAAAATCACAATTCCTGCATCACAGGCCACAAATCCAATAAGATCCTTCATTTGATCGTGTAACCCGTCGAATTTCTCTTGCTGCTGCCCGAAGAGGACACTCAGGAACCTTACTCCCTCGTGGAGTATTAGCATTCGATCCTTCACCAGTACCGAGAAACTGGGAAAATGTTCTAGTAGCTCCATAACATTATACAGGAGACAATCAATAAAGTTGGTCAATAGATGCTTGTTCTTCTCCAGCACTAAAGTGCGTGACGATCTTGATAACTTTGAAGCAGTCAGGACATGGATATAAGTTTCTTGGACTTGGGGATCAACGGGATCAATCTCCTTGCGTATCAATTGGGAAATTTGAAATTCCATTTCATTGCGCACTTGTTCACTGTTTCGGTCAAACCAACATATAGAAATCAGGCGTGCAGCTTTGACTGCCACAACTTCAGCGTGGATCAACAGATCGATCAATCCCTTACCCTCAACGCCTTGCACTGTGGCAAAGCAAACGAAACTCTGCAAGAACAATAGCTTCGCTTGAAGGGTTCTCATTACAATACGCAGAGCATTGTCAAATCCGTAATTCAAACGGGTAAGCCACTCCAGATTATTTAAAACGGAGTCAGTCAAATTTGTATCCAGTCGTGGATCTCCCAGTGAGTAGTGGTGCAACAAACTGATGATGCACGATGGTCGGATTTCTGTCTCAAAAAATAACCTGATTTTTTCCTTAAATCTGATGAGCTCAGTTGTGATGTCATTAAGACTTGATGCACCAGACTGAATATATGTAAAAAACAGCAGACATTTCCTCCCGATCTTGAATCTTCGACAAAATAATACTAAAGTCTCAAACTGTCGGACTCAGTGTTACCCTTCTCCGCCAGATCGTGTTCCCAACACATTTCCTGGTTCCTCCTGCAATTTGTAACATACAGATCAAAGGGGAGCAATACGAGTACCTCCTTCCACATCTCCCGGATTTGATCATTCCATTTGAACTGGACTTCACCATCGAACTTGGGCCCCCTCTTCAAAAGCCAGTCCAGATGCTCTAAGATAGACTCAAAGGCACTAGTGCGGCTACCACTGGAGGCCATCTTCATTATGGTGTCTTCTCTTTCACTCTGATGTCAGATCTCTGTCATTATAGTGTAGCAAATGATGCCGAATGAACTTAGTTCAGGACTCCTTTTTTCTTGCTGTATTTTTATGGTGGTGTTAAACATATGCAACACTCCAAAACTCTCTAACTGGGAGCTTTCTCTCTCTAACTGGGAGCTTTCTCTCCACTGAGTGGGAGATTGAAAATTTCAAAAAATCCCGCTCAAAACTCTGAACCATCCTTAAGCAAAATTCCAAGATTGTCGGAAAACAAAACACTTCCAGTGATTCTTTAACATATTAACCAACACTCGGTGCAAGATATCGGGTTGCTAAAGTAGTGAAGTCGAGGTAGATGCAGAGACGAAAATGAAGTACCTTTAAGCCTTTAAGTATGATCAGACAAATGGAGGAAAACTAGACAGAAGTTCAATAAATTGGTCGGAAAGCAGACAGTGCAACACCTCCCTCTTTTTCACAATTTCTATTCTCAAGGAGCCTTAATGAACCAGGTATCAGTGCATTAACTACTCAACCATGTCTCAGTTTGCACATGCATTTGCACAAGTAGGGTGTTTTTGCCTACCAGGTAGTGTACTTAATTAGGGAAGATTTCAGTCTGTTTTTCCCTTTCTCTCTGGTTTCGTTAGCGTCTTTTATTTGTTCTTAACTATAGCTAGAGGAATCCCCTTTAGATTTACGTGTTTCCATGGCGGATGAACTGGAGGAAGTGCTTAAAAAATTCGCCCTGTCTAACCTAGAACAGGATGGAGCTTGGCTTGAGTTGGACGATATAGGCCCTGGAGTTAATGAGTGTAGGAACAGCATAATAGGGAAGATAAGGGGTGAAAAAGTGGCTAATTTTACTGGAGTAAAGAATTTCGTGACTGCAGCCTGGGGTTACCCCAAAGAACTTAACATGGCTGAGCTTGGGCCTAACTTGTTTCAGTTCTTTATTCCAGATGAAGAGAGCAGATTAAGAATACTTAAAGGTGGGCCGTGGTTGATAGATAATCAAATTCTTGTACTCAATAAGTGGGAGGTTGGAATCGAGGAAAACACTGAGGCTTTCAGGTTTGCTCCTCTGTGGGTACAGGTATGGAACTTGCCCATCCATTGGATTTCTAAAGATGTGGGGAAAAAAATAGGGAAAGTTTTCAAAGAGGTAAAAGAGGTTTTAATTCCCCATTCTGGGGGCAAGGAAGGGAAGCATCTTAAGCTGCTTGTGAGTGCTGACATGACCCAACCTCTGTTAAGAGGCACAGCAGTTAAAATGAATGGAGTGTCAAAATGGATCAACTTTAGGTATGAAAGAGTGCCTGATTTCTGTTACAAGTGTGGTATAATTGGTCATAGTGAGAGGAAGTGCAAGAATGAGGTGAATATCAAAAAAGGTCAGCAAGAGAATCAGTACGGACCCTGGTTACGAGCCCAGACTGGGAAAGTTTCCCCACAAAAGGATGGCAAACCCAACTCTTACCATCCAGATAGACAAGTGTGGGGTTTTTAAAATGGGGAATGGATAAAGAAAAAATACGGGAAAAGCAGTGAACAGGGGTCCAAACCAGTCAGACCTGAAAGTAGTAGAGGTATGGCTTTGACTGAGAGCGCTGACACCTCGCAAGGTCGCAAGGATGTGTTCAAGGAGAGTATACAGAACTGTGATCAGGAAGATGTGGAGATCATAAATGCACAAGAGGATAAGGGAGTTAAGGAAGGAGATGGAGATACGCAAGAGGTGTTTCAGGATACAGGTTCTGAAGTGGATAGAAGGGTGAATGAGGTTTTAACAGATGGATTATCATCAGTGCCTGGAGTGAGTGAGCATAGACATATAGGTTCTAAAGTGGATGAAGATGTGGTGATGAACATAGTTATGCAAGAGGAAGAGGAGGCGCCAGAATAGGTCATGAAAGGTGGAATAAAAAGTGAGCGAAAAGTAAGACTTCTAAACAGGAAGAATGGAAGAGGTAGACAAGCTCTGCAGGAGATTCAAAGCTTGGAACATAGGAAAGGATTGTGCACTAAAAGGAAGCTGAATATTACTGATGAGGAAATGCCTGATTTGGGATCTACTGAACAGATGGCTAAAAGGAACAAATTAGGAGAAGAAGGGGAAGATAATGGACAGATGTACAGGGTGGAAGAGACCAGCCCATCATGGTCTCTAAACAATCCATGAGAGTTCTAGTGTGGAACTGCCAAGGTGCAGGGAGCCCCTTGACAGTTCCCCACTTGAAGGAGGAAAATAGACTCCTCTCCCCAAGCATTATCTTTCTCAGCGAAACAAAAAACAGAAAAGGGTACATGGAAAAAGTAAAAAAAAGGTTGAATTTTGATAATAGCTTTATAGTTGAAGCCATGAACAAAAGTGGAGGTATGGCTCTTTTGTGGACTAATGATGTCAAGATCTCAGAGGTACAAGGAACAGCTTTTACTATAGAAGCAAAAGTGGAAGATGAGGAAAAAAAGGAAAGCTGGTGGTTTATTGGTATATATGCAAGCTGCGATTGCCAGATAAGAAAAGGTCAGTGGGAGGTGTTAAAAAGGAGGAAGGCAGGATGGGGAGACAAATGGATGATTATGGGTGACTTCAATGATATCACCTCCAATGAAGAAAAATGGGGTGGAAGGATGAGAGATAACAGAACCTTCCATGATTTTAAGAAGTTCATAAATGAAAATCAATTGATGGATATTGGCTTTGAAGGCAAGCCATGGACGTGGTCCAATAACTGGAACGGAAATGGTGAAATTAAAGAGAGGCTAGACAGATGCTTATGCTCGATTGAATGGTCACAGTGTTATGAGGAGGCCAAATGCTCACACATTGAATCACATGCATCGGATCACAGCATGCTGGTACTAGATACACTGAAGGATAGAAAGAAAAGGAAAAAAAGGTTTCAGTTTGACAAAAGATGGTTACAGCATGATGGAATTCAGGAGGTGGTGAAGGAAGCATGGAACACACCTTGTGAGGGGACTAAATGGTTCAAGGTGCAACAGAAAATCAGGAACTGTAGAGTTGAACTACTAAAGTGGAGCAGTAGTAAGAAAGAGAATTCGATGGAAAGAATCAAATGGTGCAAAAACCAGATTGAGGAATTGAAGGAATCAGAAGTAGAAAATAAGAGGCAAAAAATACAGGAAGTGAAAGGAATGTTGAAAATAGCATATGAGGAGGAAGAAGCTTACTGGATCCAGAAAGCAAGAGTGAGATGGTTAAAAGAAGGGAACAAAAACACTCAGTTCTTCCATGCAACTGTGAAGGGGAGAAGGAGAAGGAATAGGCTTCAGAAAATGAAAAAGTCTAATGGTGAGTGGACAGAAACTGAAGAAGAGGTGGGGAAGGAAGTAGCCACTTATTATAAGGAATTGTTTAAGAGTTCAGGGTCAGGGGAACTAGATGAAATCTTAGAGGGGATTCCTGTCTCTATAACTGAACAAATGAATAGGGAGCTAACTAAAAGAGTAGATGAAAAGGAAATAAAAGCTGCTTTCTTCTCTATGGATCCTTATAAGGCTCCTGGGAATGATGGAATGTCCCCTCTCTTTTTTCAAAAATTCTGGAGCATTATTCACAAGGATCTTGTAAGTGCAATCCAAGGTTTCTTTAATAACAGTGTCCTTCTCAAAGCCATGAACCACACTGTTATCTCTTTGATTCCAAAAGTGAGCTGTCCCACTGAGATTAAACAGTATAGGCCTATAAGTCTTTGCCAAGTAGTGTACAAAGCTCTAGCTAAAATTCTTGTTAACAGACTAAAGCCTTTTCTCAGTAGATGCATTAGCAAGAGTCAATCAGCTTTCGTTCCTGGTAGGCAAATTTTAGACAATGTCATGCTCTCTCATGAGTTGATACACTTTCTGAAAAACAAAAGACATGGTCGAGTAGGCTCAATGGCTGTGAAACTGGATATGTCCAAGGCCTACGATAGGGTGGAATGGGGTTTCTTGAAAGCTATAATGGCCAAGATGGGTTTCTGTACCAAGTGGATAGAATGGATTACAACCTGTATCAGCTCAGTGACCTATTCCTTCAACATAAATGGAGAGCATAGGGAATACATCACTCCTTCAAGAGGCATCAGACAAGGAGACCCACTATCCCCCTATCTGTTTCTGCTATGTTCTGAGGGACTGTCACACTTGCTGCAAAAAGCAAAGAGGGGGAAGGAGCTAACAGGGGTTAAGATCAGTAGAGGAGCTCCTGCTATCACTCACCTATTCTTTGCGGATGATTCCCTAATATTCTGCAAAGCCAACTCTCAAGAAGCTGGGAAGTTAATGCAAATACTAAAAGTGTACGAAGAGGCTACTGGACCGCTTATCAATATGGATAAATCCTCTGTTTTCTTTAGCAAAAATACAACCCAACCAGTGAGGCATGAAGTCTGTCAAACAATGGGGGCAATCCAGCAGGTAGGACAAGGCAAATACCTTGGATTACCAATGATCATTACAAAGTCAAAAGAGCAGGTGTTTGGTTTCATCAGGAACTCAATTGATAATAAACTATTGGGATGGAAAAACAAGTTGCTGAGTCAGGCTGGCAAGGAAATTATGCTAAAGGCGGTGGCGATGGCTATGCCTACCTACACTATGTCCTGTTTTAGACTACACACTAAGCTCTGTAGAGATATCAGTGCCAAAATGGCAGACTACTGGTGGGGTGAATCTGAAGGGAAGAAAAAGATGCATTGGATTGGCTGGAGGAAGATGACTGAAAAGAAAAGTACAGGAGGAATGGGTTTCAGGGACTTGCAAAAGTTTAACAAAGCTCTACTGGCCAAACAAGTGTGGAGGTTGATAACACAACCTAACTTGTTGGTCAGTAAAGTCTTAAAGGCGAAATATTATCCTAAAGAACCCATATTCAACTGTAATGTGCCTCGAAATGCTTCATGGCTGTGGCAAAGTTTATCAACTGCTATAAAAGATGTCCAAATTGGAAGTAGGAGGAAAGTTGGGAATGGTAAAAGTACACGTATATGGGATGACAACTGGATTCCAGACAGACCATCTGGGAAACCAACGTCTGCAAAGCCTCAGGGATGTCACCTCCAGTTTGTATCAGAGTTGATGATCAACAGCAGATGGAACACAGTGCTGATATTCAGAATATTTAACTCACAAGATGCTGAGAGGATTCTGAAAATTCCTATAAGCTTAACTGGAAAGGAGGACAGTTACTACTGGATGCACTCACAAAATGGACAATATACAGTCCAGTCAGGCTATAAGATTTGGATGAAGGAAGAGAATCTGGAAGGCATAAGGAGGAGGGAGAATACTGGAACAAGCTATGAAGGGTCCATGTCTAATACCTGGAAAACACTATGGAAGCAAAAGGTAAGCCAGAAGCTGAAAGTCTTCATTTGGAAATGCCTGCATGGTGGTCTTCCTGTGAGAGCAGAAATTCACAGAAGAACAAGACAAGGGAATCCTTTTTGTACAGGGTGTGGAGAAAAGGAGGAAACTCTTGAACATCTACTGATCCAGTGTAAAAAAGCTAAGGAAATTTGGAAGATGGCTCCGGTGCAGTGGGATGGAATTATGGAGCTGTCAGACTGCTTCATCAGGTGGTGGATAGCTATAGGGGAAGCTCAACAAGACAGAGGAAGGGAGGACCAGGTGAACCTCACCATTAATATCCTCTGGCAGATATGGAAAGCAAGGAACGATAGAGAATTCAATCACAAAGAAAGAGAACCTCACAAGATTATTCAAAGGGCCATGAAGGAGTGGATAGAGTTTGATGAGGCAAACAAAGGCAAGGTAGCAAGGAAGAACACTCAGGAAACAGAAATACAGCAACGAACTGAACCAGAGCCAGGACAAAATGAGAGCCATACCAGCCTAATGATCAAGATTCATACACATCAAGACAAAAGTCAAGCAATAGTAGGGATTGGAATCACTGCAACTGACTCTATGGGACAAATCCAAGCGGGCTGGGCACTAAGAGAAAGACTATCAACTGAGCCAATTCAAGATCAAGCGGTAGCAGTGAGACTCGCGTTACTAAATGCTATCAGCCAAGGATGGAGCAGTATCAGAGTGGAGCTCGATAACAAGGAGCTAATGGAGTGTATAAATGGCTCGAGGCACTGCAACCATATGATGGCTACTCTAATAGAAGATATCCAGTTCATTAGTAATCAGTTTCATAAGTGTTCTTTCTCGTTTGCTAATACAGGGAAAGTAGGCAGTATTAAATTGAGCTTGCATGCTCTAACCATCTGGATAGATGAAGAATGGGTAAATCCCACTCTTAGGTGCTAGGCACCAAGTTTTTGTAGGACGTCTGTCCTTTTCTCTGGACCTTTGTCCAAAGTTTGTACAGTTTAAAGTGCAATTTATATGAAAAAAGCTATCGTTTCGACAAAAAAAAAAAATGTTAAACATATGCAACATTCTTTCTTGCCCTGCTGAGTGCTGTGGCAAACAGTTACTCCACCAACAACGCCAGTCAAGTGAGTCAACACCGCATTCACCTAATTGGCA